TTGCTAATACGATACATCGTTGTAGGGAATACTATCAGATGGGGAAAGAGCCAACAAATCGTCTTTGAGTTCGCTTAGAATAAACTGGTGCCTAGTCATCAATAACAGTAAAAAATGGAGGCGAATAATTGAAAAAAAAGAAAAGAAGTTACAAGGAGAGGCTAAAAGTAATTCAACTTTCTTTAATAAAAACTTATAACTTTTATTTTTGAGCAGCTTTACGTAAATAGAAACCAGGAAGATATAAAATTTGGTTTACTTTCGAATAATGCAATGAGCAAGCAGTTTCTCAAGTATACCTACTGCTGCCGCGTAACAAAATATTAATCATTCGTCGATAAACTTAACATTGCAAAAATTGTTGTAGTAAAAAATATTTATTCGATTTTTTCAGTTACTAAAAAATTTACTTTAGCGATAATGAAATATCTTATTTCTACGATACAACACTTTCGTAAATTTCCAAGTAAATGCGTGTAAAATAAAGTAAAATCCAGTTTGATCCCTAGCCTGAAAAAGTACAAGATTGTAGGGTTTCTTGACTCCTTTGCAAAAGCTTATTACGCAAGCAACTTTGGCATCATTCTTATATCTAACTTTGACCAAAGTAAAACATTTAGGATTTTGCTAATTCATACTTCTGCAGCTGAAAGAACTTGCCGTTGTTAAATGGAATTTATTTACATTTGTAAAAGTACATATATAAATAGTAGCATTATCAAAATATATTTTCTTTTCTGCATCGATGTTATGCTTCACCAAAAATAATGCGTTTCACTCAGTTGCTAGAGTTGGAGTGCCATTCGAGAAAGGTAAACATATCATGGAAGCCGTTCGGATGTTCCATATTGTAAACTTGGACGTTTTAATAATTTATTCATCACGCTTGACAATCGATATCCTAATTCCAGCTGACTGTATTTTACTACCTTCGTGAATAAAGGAGTTGATAAAGTAGTGCAAGTTGGTTTATGCTTATTTACATAAATATAACGGACAATAATGAAAAACCATGAACAGGCTATATCAACAGGAAATAGCGTTAAAAGGAAAAACGCAAGAACAATAATTACTTCGCTCATCTTTCTATTTGCTACAAATGTATTTGAATAAGAAAACACACGCTGTGATGAAAAACCTTTTCCCCCTCTCATTTACTGTTTTCTTCTTAAGTGCAGGATAAACTGTGCTGATGATTTAGGCGAAATAGGCAAAAAATTTGTGTACCGTTGTTATTTCTTCTACTACTGCCGTATATCAAAAAAGAATATTTATTTGAAACCGATGTGACAATAGTTTTTTAATATTTGATAGGTCGTAAAATATAAAAATAAAAGAAACACATCCAGGAATAAAAAATTGAGGTCATAAGTAGAAAATATGGTCATAGAAAGTATAACTGTGCTATAAGTATGTGTTGTGTTAAGAAAAAGTTGTATCTCCATCGCCTCGATTATTTCCGTGTTACGTATTTGGTAGTCAACACATGCAACTAGCAATTCAAGGTTTACTTGAGGAATCGTTCAGAGCAATTGCTATCAAAAAATACTAGCATTATTCCTCTTGCTATTACTTATATTCTGATTTTGTTTGCTATTATATGTTTGTGTTTAGTTGATGAGTTTGGGGAATAGGTAGCTTACGAATATAACACTGCAGTGGAATAAAAAGGAATCATTGCGCATTCATTGCAGAGTGCACTCAACTTCAGCCGCGCATTTACGCTAGTTTCCTGTTTTGATATTTTCTACTTAGTAATTAAAGTGTTTACGTTACAGCATACGTTTCTACATGAGTTTTTTCTTTGTCATCACCATGCTCCTTGATTTTACTATGGGCTGACTTGCATTATATTCTATGGAAAGTTATGCTGGTACAAAATAGTAATCATTATTTAAACTACTTAAAATAGAAGTCTTTTTAATATCAAAATTTATTTGCTAATCGATTTTGTTGCTAAAATTCAGTATGAAAGAAAAGTTTAGATGAGGCAGTTTATTCATCGAATTAATAGAAACAGCTTCTTGGGGGAAATTCCTTACACTGTAAAATACCCGCCCTACCATTAAGTGGCAGAAAAAAGCACCGCTGCTTGTTTCCAGGGTGCATGCACCAAATTGCACGTAAGTTGAGAGCACTTTCCAATACTATTTACAGAGCGTATAAACATGATTCAGTGACGTTTCGTGAAGTGTGTAAGGTATAGACAAAAGTAGTAGAATAAGGTTATCTTTATCCCCTTCCTCTCTCTCAAGCGGAAATTTCATTAAGAACAGTTGCGTGGTTCGTGTGAAAGTTAATCACGTTAAATTGGACTCATTTTCCCTTGTTTGAATTAGGTTCAGTGAGATTAATGCTTTTGGATGAGCTTGAAAGTGTGCGAACCACTTTACTCTGAACAAGTTTTTGCTAAAGCTGCTATAGAAATATGGATCTAGTGCAGTACTTACCATCTCAAAAGCACTATGCTGATAGGACTATCGGAAAAAGGCAGCATCAGGTTTCTCTTCAAACTTCCACCCTCCTTCCTAGCTGGAATCAGTATAAAGTAGTATCTTCACAACGGAAAGACTCGTTGCAACCTATTGCATACCCTAGACGCGTACAGAACAAGGATCTGTCCACACATTTGGAGCAGCCTGGATTCATGGAATTCTCTCGATATCACGGGTCAATTGGAAAAGGATACCCTGCTGCTTTCTCCGGAACGGGGCCGAGTTACCTAACTTACATGAAAAAGCAGCCTCCACTTCAGAGAGTTAGCACCCAGCGAGACCGTCGCATAATTGCTCAGCCCGAAATTACAAGTGCTCAGATACCACCGCAAGAATACGACTTATTGAAACAGGAAAGTCAACTGTCAATTCCATCGATGTGCAAACTTTCGTTTAGTTAACTGTATAGATCTATTTTCTTCAATAAATAATTTTTTTTAAATTAGTGGGTTTATTCGGTATTCTAGTTACTTTCTTGTAATATTTTAATATTAAAAGGTGCGTTTGTTGTATCGTAAATGTGCAAAAATTACACTAAAACGAACAAAACTTATTTTTTCCAGGTCTTTAGTCTTTTTGAGCATCGCAACGAGGGTTTTGTTTGGAAGAGCGATCTTTCTGCTTGCTTGAGAGAATTGAGTTGTTCTATTAGTTCCTATGATTCCGCAGCGCTGTTCATGGAGCTAAACAAATTAGAGTAAGCTTTCAATTTATACGAAAAATTTATCGGTGGTATACAATGATTGCCTGTGTTAAATGAATGAGAGTATATCTATCTTATGCGTTGTTTTGTTCAAAAGATCAAAAATTAGATTCCCTGAATTCCTTTCATTGCTTTCTATCCCTGTACGGCCATTCTCGAAAATGGAAGACGCACTTCTGGTTTGCTCTTTTTTTCTAGCATATCACTTATACATTTTTCTTAAAAGCTTTAATTATCGTTAATGGTAAAATTTTTCCCCGCTTTGAAATTATGTATACTGAGTAATACAACTATATTTTTTTTACTTGAATTAAATTGATAATTATTTACATCATTTTCCTTTTGACATTAGGCATTTAAACTGTTTGATGTAAATCAAACTGGCAGCGTTTCAATAAATGAGCTTTCTTCTATCAATAATGAACTAAGTAAGTCCATGCTCTTTTTGTCATAATGCTTACTTTTGTCATATATTTTGTTATTACGTATTTTATCAGATTATAAAGCTTCCACATCTCAGCTACAGGTATGTTTGAAAAGGTGATGCTCTAATTGTATTTGAAATGTTGCCGTGTCTACCAATTTCGTACTTGCCATCATATCGTGTAAATTGTTTGTAAGTTTGTGTTCCCTATAGAGCATGATAAAAAGTGTCGATTCGGAGGGAGATGGAGCTATTAATTTGGTAAGAACCAGTTTAATGTTAGCTGGTACATTCTTCTCTCATTAGCAGTAACTCAGTGGTGCCACTTGATTTATTTGTGCACAGGAAGATTTTTTTCGTGCTGTAAAGACCTAACGTGAGGTGACAAACGCTTAGAGGCTTATCATATTCTTGATGATGTTACTGAACGAAATTAAAGGAATAGGTAATGCTCATTTTTCTTCAAGAATTTTTCGCATAAACCTTTGTGATCAATTATATTTTTTTGAGAAAAGCAGTTACGGCGTTTACACTTTAATAGCTTGTTTGGCTGTAATCTTTTTTTTCGTTTCGTCGCGTACACTTTCATCAAGGCTTCGAGGTTTGCAGTCATTTTTCGATACGCGTTTTTTCGACGTCTGTGGCATCTTTTCCGTATAAAAATATGGCCTTGTTTTAAAGGAATCTTTCCTATTTTTGGTATACAATTTCAGCAAAGATTAATTGAAAGTTTAATAATGTAGCAAAAACTTTGGGGATAACAAATTTATAGTTTTCTCGTTTGAAGATAACGCCTATTCTATGCTTCAAATTTCTGCAAGTTTCTGGAAAACTTTATTTTGAAATTTTTCTAAATGAAATACTGCAAAATTAACGTGTCTAGCTTTATTAAACCTTGCAATCATGGGAAATCATAAACTGATCGCATCATTACTTATGTCATGAAAAAGAGGGTCTTGAATTGAGAAGTTTTTTCGAATGTTCACGGGGATAGATATGGTTGTTGCTAAAAAGGTTGCGTAATCAAAATAAGGATAATTTCTCATCAGATGTAAGCATAAATTGCGATCGCTGTCGAGCAGAGCAGCGTCTGAAAATTGAACTGATGAATTTGGGTACCAAAAAATGGCGACTGCACCATGCGTGCTACCAACACTGAGTTGCAGTTTATGGTACTGTGTTAACAGTTCCAAACGATAAAGAAGCATTGCAGAGCCAGTCTTTTTTCTCTACAATCGCTAACTTTCCTCTTCTAACTTTGTGTATAGGTTTGAAGAGATTGTGAGCGAAATATTCAAAACAATCTTCGTCTGGGAGCAAAAAAAAGAAGAATGCAAATAATTTAGAAAGTAATATATGAAACCTTCTGCTTGAGTAAGCGAGCATGGTCCAGTGGTTAAGACGCCTGCCTAACACGCAGGAGATCCCGAGTTCGAAACTCGGTGCTCGTAAATTTTTTTAAGTACATTTTTCATGTTAAAAATACAATGCAATTTTAAAATTTGGTGGCTGTGGGGTTCGAACCCACGCCCGTGTGGACTGCGGCCTAAACGCAGCGCCTTAGACCTCTCGGCCAAGCCACCTTCGGAAAGTTTAGGAACCAATCACTCAATTAAAGTATAAAATATCCTAAATGCTTAAATGCGCCAACCGGGAATCGAACCCGGGTCACAACCTTGGGAAGGTCGCATCATACCACTAGACCATTGGCGCTTAAATTAAACGGAGGCAATTTTTGTTTATTTTGCTTACAGAATACAACCACCTGGCATACGATGAAAATAGATACATATATCTGATGTTTCTATTTCTATTGCGTAATTCATTCGCGAATGATTGCTATCTGCATGTAGATTACGTCCTGTTACTCAACGTTAGATGTTTTTTTGTGTTCTATGAATACGTGATACGTTGATTGAATTATTTTATAGACATTTAGTGGGCTGTTCAGTGCCATTCATGCTCTTGTAATAACAATAATATTTACGAAAAGAGGACAAGCAAGAAGAGAAAATAAAAGCCGCGTATTAAAATCTATGCTAAGTCTAAAGCAATGAAATTATGCAGTTTCTGAAGTTTAGTTATTCGTTAATATTGGAAGAGTCACAGTAGGTCTTTGTAATGAAAATTATACGGGCAAGTCAAAACATTCCACTCGGCTCGCATAAATTTTATTCAATAGATGACCACAATCAGTTTTAGGTGTATGTTTTTCTTCGAGTGCAAGGACCAATATGATGTCATGAACTAGGAAAAAATTTAACGAGTTCATGAAGAAATGGGCATTTCTTAGCGCTTTAGGCTATCTTGTCCACCCAGGAACAGATGAGAAATCATGAATATTTTTCAGCTAGACATGCTTATCCGCAACAATTGTTATTTATTAAATATTTCTTCAGTGCCACGTTGTGCTTTATACATAAATCTTCCTGGTAGGAAGTTTGATTATTTTTAATATGTAGATATAAGAAATTAGTTGCAGAAATATATCACGCCGCGCTTGGCTTAGACGAGCAACCTCACAAGTCTAATCTTTTTACGTATTCAAGATAATTTAAGGTAGTAATTGTACGAAGAAAAACTTATCTAGCCGCTGACAATTCTGAGTTTAATAACTCATGACAAGCTACAGCTCAAAACATCGCGATCGCGATTCAGTACTTCTTCGCTGTGCCTCTTGATCAAGAATTAACGCCGCGTAATATAAAGCGAATTTTTACACAGGCAAGTTTATCCTTGGGAACATATTCCATCAAATAAACTGAACAAGATTTTGCTTGCTAAGCACTATATGTTCTTAAAAATGGTTTTCTGTAGAAAAGATTCAATAGTTTTTGAAAAAAATAAAAAAATAATTCAAATTTTACACAAGATCAAATTTACTGAGTTTTATTAAGTATTATTGCAGGTTTAATTTACCATAAAATTGAAAATAAGGAAAACATTCCGACAAGTGGTCTGAAATTAGCCTACAAATAAATCTTAAAGGAGAGCAATGTAGAATAGCTATGTATCGAGTAGTCGTGAAAAGCATCGGTAACGGCAATACAACTTCACATGTTGCATAGAGAAAAACTCCTTTTCTTGAGCCAAATTTGGACTATAGCCGCTATATTATAGTAAAATTTACATGAGTTACAAGAAAAATAGATTACAAAAAGTTATAAACCAAACAAGCCAGCTCGAATGATAAATTTGAAGCGAACCAGTGGAAATTAGCAATGTTTTAACTCTAAGAGCATGGTTTCGCAAAAAAAAGTTCATTCAATTAAAAAATTAGCTACGAAAAGCATGAAGAATGCTAACGCATGGCAAGGTTTAGTTTGATTTTATAAAATGAAATAGTGGAGACATTAAATTTCTTTGGCATTATATGACATTATATGTCACAACTTGTCATTCCTACAAAATAATTTCTGGTAAATGTGTTGATTTCCCCTTGAAATAGCTTCAGAAATAGCTTTTAGCTGTACTTGGTTCCATTCTTGAAGTTGTGATTGAGTTAAAAGGCTTTGATCACTACTTATGGAGTTAATTCCGTACGAGTAATTACCAAAATTCCTTTCAACAAACTGAGTAGGTGAAACAAGTAAGGCAGGATCACGAGTTGAACTTTCTTGGAAATTACTACTTTGCTCATCAGATGGAAGGAAAGGTCGTGAAGAGTGCATTTCTTCCGTTGAGTAACAATCAAATGAGCAGTTTGATGTAGAATCCAACTTTTGAGTTCGGCTCAACAATTGCTCGTTACCTGAGGAATCAATGTGCTGAATCTCACTTTTAGAAGAACGCTTAGGAGTTTTTAAATTCTCATTTAATTGCAAAATATCGCTTCCAGTCCAAGTGAAAGCAGAACCGTGCATATCGCAACTACATTGTTCACTATTAATAGGTAATATAGGAGAGCTTATTTGGGGAAGTGCCTTCATTGTTTCGTTAGCTGATTTGTGCTTATTTTCAAATGCACAAGAGCATGTTGATCCGCTCTTTGCATTGCCATTATCTTTAGAAATGCATGGAGACAAGCTGACTACGCGGGAAGCAGAAATTAGGTCAGATTGAATTAAGTCAGATAGTTGCTCAACGTATTTTGATGTCATGCTAATATTTTTGAAGTTGTTTTCGGAAACCCTTTCTGCTCTGCAGTGATTGACTTCAGCCATTTCAACCGGAAAATTCTTGTCAAAACGCCTCGTTGAAGTAGTCTGCATGACGCAACCACCATCTCTGCCAGTTTTTTGAGTGGATAAAACCTGAGAAGTATTCGCGTTAAAAGTAGTAGCAAATTTTTCTGGTGAGGCTTGTTTGTGCGTAGAAACAGTTTCGAATTTCTTTACGAAAAAACGAGAAGGTAAGCTACAAAATTCTGTTTTATTATCGCCCTCCAACGCTGTTTTCGTGCGGTCTGACGGCTTCATATAATCCTTTAATGACTCAAGTATTACAGAATCTACGAAAAAGCATGGAGGTAACATACAAATTAGGGCACCAATAGGTGCATTGTTTTCCTCAACAAAATAGCATTGCAAAATGAGTTAAGAAAACCAATTTACTCAATGCAAATTTCCAAACACTACAGATATTCAAGCCAAACTTGGCAATGCGCGAATATTAGAAATAATAGAACTAACACAAGATTAGTAAAAACATGCCAAACTTTAAAGATAAAAAGTTGCAAAATTTCAGTGCGTACAGGACAAAAAAATTTCAATTCGTTGAATTCACTATTCCTAAGCGTTATACAATACTAAAAGTTACCTCTTTTATCTTGCTGCGAAAAATTTTCTATACCGTAGGATACATCAGAATTCTGAAAACAAAACATATTAACGACATCTATGAGCGACCAGCAAAAAATCAAATTTTATCTTATAAGAAAGTATATTGCGGGAAGATATGAAAGAGGGAAAACTCACTTTTCGTTTTACAAAAAATAAAAGAAATTGCATACGGCTGTCAAAAAATTTTAAAAAGACTACGAAATAAAATTGCCCTACGATAGAAAAGAGCAGCATTTTAATCACAAAAATGTCAACGCTAGCGAAAATGGCAGAACTTACACCTACCGAGTTAACTTTCAATACGTTTGCTTTGCCATTCCTGTATGCCCGTAGGGCTAAAGTTGCAAAAAGCTTATATAAATAACTTTCTTCTTTATGCTTAGTCTTAAGAGAGAAAAATGTCTGAGCAGTACTATTTAAAACAATCGAATTAATTTTTTCAATCACTTCTTGAAAAAAGGAAAAGCCAATTCTTGAAAAACATAAATATTTTAAGCTGTGTTCTTCAGAAGTATCTCTGCTTCCATTTTCTGGGTTAACATGCCTTGACGCTTTAATAGAATACTGTGAAACAGCTGTTGTCCAAAGAAAATCAGCAATATGTTTTAGATGAAATGAATTACAAGAATGTCTGAGTTGTAGTTGATTAGTACCAGGAAGAGGCTTTTTCCGAGCGAAAGGTAGCAGGCATTGATGCATGTTAGAAAATGCATCACTCAAAGCTGTCCATTTTTGATCAAAAAAAAAATCTTCTAACAACTGTAAGCCGGTTGTAACGCAGTCAAACAAATCTTTTGTCTTCTTTTCGTCCTGCAGAGTAACATGATCGGAAACCGTCCAACAATTAGAGTCACAGTCATTTAAATTTTGCACAGTGGGTTTCTTCCAAAATTTGTTCGGCTGAACGCATTTGCAACACTTTTCAGTGTGCACGTTGGTAAGAACAGGTGCAACGATCGCGGAAGATCGTACTGCTTCTACTTGAAGGGACGCACTCTCTGTTTCTTTACAAGGCAGCGCCATTGGGGTGTGGTTTTCATCTTTTGAAACTACAGTAGGAAATGAATTACACTGAATAGAATCTGAAGCTCTACAGCGAGTGCTTCCTTGGCTACAAAGGGTACAAATGCACTTTTTATGCTCCATAGAATCTTCAAGAATTGGTCTGACTGCGCTAGAAAATAGTAAAAGTTTCTGAGAACATTCTGAATGTAGCAATAAGCCCCTTTTTAGTATTTTTAAAAAAGTAATCTCGCTACCGGAAGAGACATGGATCTCACTACTTTTCAAGAAACTCTCCAGGGTATCCTCACGTAGATCACATGTACAAAATTGTCCAAAATATTCCAACCGTTTAGAGATAAATTTCTGGAGATGTTTCGATATTGCCATACACTTCATCATGGGATCCTTACACAAGTGAAAATCTTTTTTTAATGTTAACAATTCCATTAAATCATCCTCTGACATTTTGTTGCAAAACGAATATGAAGAAGGCTGCAAGCCATGAGAGTCTACATTTCTTTTGCTACTAACGATGGGGGGAATATCCGCAAAAGCTGAGGTAGCATCGGGCTGCAAAAATTGCAAAAAAAATGCAAAACATCACCTTTTCTTCCTTTTTCTCACTGACATGAAATCTAATACATACCCTCTTTCTCTCTGAGGACTGTGAAGAATAGAAATATATACAGTGTATCTTTGTGTTTGCAGTAAGATCACAAAGAAGAGGCACTCATCAAAACTATACATGAAAGATGAAATTACGTAGAGCGATGCAGTAAAGGAAGACAACATCACATTAAACACCTAGCGCAAATTACCTAGATCAACCATTTTAAAATTATAAAATCCAAAACATTTTTTTCACCTTCTGCACAGTTTGTTTTTCGTATCTTCCAGGTGTAGAACTTGGGAAATTTTGGTATTTCC